TTAAGTAGTATTAGGTTTTTGTCAACTACATTTTATCAGGTAAGTTTCATATTATTAAGCTACATATCTACACTATTACTAACTAAGACATTTCTCATATAAATATATGCTTAGCTCCAGATCTCATGATATTACAAACTATGTGACCCAAACTGCATCACCATCAAACTTGTGTGAGTATGACAGAAATAGTGTACAAGCCTTTCTGCACTAGGGAGGCAGAGGCAGATGGATCTCTGTGAGTTTGAAGCTAGCCTGGTCTACGTAGTGAGTTCCACAACAGCCTGGTTTGCACAGTGAGTTCCAGAACAGACAGGACTACCTAGAGAAACCTTGTCTCAAAATAAAAGGAAAAGAAAAGATTGTGTGAGCAAACACTGCAGGTTTAACAGTAGTTTAGCTATATCTATTTAATTATTACTAGTCGGTGAATATTATTATCTAAAACTTGTCTTAATAAGATATCTTTAATAAAGACAACCTGCTGGGTTAAATCTATATATCTAAAGGGAAAGGTAAATTAAGAGATACTTAAATGTGTATGCTGACACCTATTGGGAAACCCAAGAAACAAACTTAAACTGGGCACAGCCAGGTATGTGTATCCTGTGGCAAAATGAGATACAGCACAAACCAGGCAAGTTCCCCTTGACCAGACAGACCAGTCTTTCAACTTCTGGATGAGGCAAGACTCAGTTGCATAACAGTGCACACAACACTCTTATCAGACACAAACGTTGGTCTATTTGAGCATGTAGAAGAATATTAGAAATTAACTGACATGTACTTTCCAGTTCCCTATTCTTTAATTGGGGTAAAATAATCTAATATTGAACATGTGCTAATGACTTTCAGCAAAAATCTTCCAATGATGTTTCTGATAATTCTCAAAAGAGGCATTCTGGGTCCGGAGAGATAGGTTAACAGCTAAAGAGCACAAGCTGCTCTTGCCAAAGACTCAGGCTAAGTTCCCAACACCAGGCAGTTCACACTGACCTAACTGCAGCTGCCAGTGATGCGAGCCCTCTTCCAGACTCCAGAGTACCTGCATTCACACATGTACATACACCCACCAACCTCACAGACATATGCACACATCACTAAAAATAAAATGAATCTTTTTTAAAAAGTCATTCTATTCTTATCCTTCACCTCAATTGTAATGATAATCCTCTAAAAATAGACACACTGCCCTTCGTAGCAAGACTAAAACATTACATTATATTAAAGGAGTCTGTTATGATGTAAGCATATATAAAGGCTTCATTTGTAGGATAATGTCCATTGAGTTTAACAATAAATTTTATCCTAGAAATTCATTTTCCCCTATTTTAACTTACCTGCAGGATTTAGATCTATCCATTAGAAGCAATGCAAAAGAGGGGGTGGGGAGAGAAGAAACAAAGACTTATTATCTATGACAAAGCTACAACCCAAGTTTGATACACATCTGTTTGATATATCAAGAATTCCACACTTCACTCTGAGAAAACAAAAGCCTTATTTCAAGAGCAACCCCCAAGTAAATGAAATTCAACAGTGTGTTTATTTACACTTCTGCTCTCAAAATTCTATGTTACTCCAGTGTAAATGTGCTTTAAAAAATTCAGTATGAAAAAAAATCAGTATGTGACTGACATGAAGAACGTAAGTGAAAGCCGGGTGCAACGGAAAAGCACAATGTTAGGATTTCCAGACAGTGCTCTTAACATAACTGGAGAAGACACTACTCCAGAAGATGTTCGCTGGGTTTTGAGGCTTGTCTTTTGCTCTTCTTTTACATGCTTTTTATGTTAATTTATAATCAACTTTGAATCAAATAGTATCTAGACCTCTGCTTTACCAATAATTTAGGAGATTTTAAATTCTGTGCATAAGACAATAAATGTGACCATACACCACAGGGCCACTCACTGGTGTCACAGGATTAAAATGCATTTTTAATGTTCTGTCCACGAGGTATTAGCTATACCTTTTTATACAGTATCACTACTTGTCCTTGAATATTAATGAAGGGATTGTACAAACTGATCAACACAATAACTGTTACTCAGACGTTAAGATAAAGGATGGAGAGGCAGCAGCCAAAAAGTTCTCAGTTATGTTGCTCAGGACTCAAAAAAAATCACAATCCAAACCTCAACAGGCTTTTCAGAAATCATCGAAAGGTCTCTCATCCCTCAACCCTTTATCAAGTTTTTACTTTCCATGAGATCAAACCTGTCTAAACATAAAGGTGATTGATCCTATAGCCTCAAAGTTTGGAAATTTGAGTAACAGATAAGGTGATCACATCTGGGTAAAATAAGATATTGAGACCATTTAAGTTGAAGTAATTCACAAAGCAGATAAAACTAGAATTTTAAAATGTACACCTAAGTTACAAAATTATATCAGAGCATCAGTAATCAATAATTTCCAATGAATAAACAAGAAGATTCACCAAGGAAAAAATAGAGAGATGGGGGAAACCAAGTTAGTGACACTGAGCTAAAAGCAAGGAGACTTTTTTTTAACTATACACCTTTTTAACTGGAAAAATGAGCCTTAAAAGAAGACTGTCTAAAATGATTTCAAAACACAAAGAACGAAAGTGCTGCAATAGCAAACTACCAGCTCTGCTACACTGAAACGACATTGCTACATTCCTACATTGAAGAACTTTTCAACGTGTTTTCCACTGATTTTATATTCTAACAAACAACTGACATCGAACCGTTCCTATGAAATAAGTACCACACAGGAAAGGAAAAGATTACCATACCAAAGTCTACTAAGTTCAAAGTTATAACAAGCTATTCCCTCCTAGCCTAGAGACAACCTAACAGTGCCAATTAAGTACAATCTAATGATATCTAATATTTTGCATGCTAATTTTAAAAATAAAACTTTTAAATCTAAAAAACACTGACTTGAACTCCAGATGAAAATGTTACAGATCTGTTCTTAAATACTCTAACACCAAAGGTGGGGAGTTTTGTTTAGTAGTGTAACACCTATCTAAGATTGAATAGTGATTTAATGTTATAGCAACCCATGTTTCTCACTAATTCATATTAGGTTTTTTACTTTAAATAAATGAAGTCTGACCTAGAGGACATTTTTCCAGTGCTAATAAAAATGCACTATGCTTGCTACTGAGTAAAAGGAGAGCACAGAAACCAGGTGAGCACACTTGCTAGCCCCACAGTTCCTGAGAGTAACTGCACCAGTAATTATCAGTAGAAAAGAACATCCTTAAACACACGGTCATGTAACTTACAGCTGCAATAGCTTAAATCTGGTTCATAAAGTTGCAAATCAGCGGGTTTACCTGTTGGTCTGGAGTACGAAACAACAGCATTTCCTTCTAATTCAGATGGTGTGTAACTTCTCTTCAGGTACACAGAAAATGCTACTGTGCTGGTCATATCTGGTACTATAAGGAATATGAATGTCACACATATGTTATACAAGGGGGCAAATTATTAATAGTAACTAAATTTTGTGCACCATTTACTGTATGTCAGGTATTTCAATAAGCACTTTGAACAGCTACTCTTACAATCTTCACAGAGATGCTGGATGGTAGGTAGATACCATTATCACCTCCATTTTTTAACTTTGAAGGGACCAGACTACAGAGGTACGAACCATGGTTACAACACTATTATAGGGCAGGAACTGAACCCACACATGGCATCTAGTGCTCCTCAACCCTGCATCTCTTTACCTGGGGCAACACAAAGGCGCCAGAAAGTCTGTGGCAGCTAGAGCGAAGTCTGAGTGGGATCAGATACAGATGACACGCTAACGTGTCAATGGAGACTGACTAGGCTGCTGTCCTGGGTTGGAGAGTGGGTTTCCAGCCTCTACACAGAGCCTCTGGAGTTTAACTAGGACAATTCTTCAGAATATTTTAGAAACATTAACAGGACAAGAACACTTAGAGGGTAAAAGCACTTGCTGTCAAGCCCAAAACCTGAGTTCTAACTCCAGGTCTTACATGGTAGAAGGAAAGAACTCACTCTTGCAACTTGTCCTCTGATCTCCAAACTATGGCAAGAACATATCCATATATATATTTATATATACACAAAAAAACCACAAAATAAATGTTAAAAATTAAAATAACAATGTGAAAAAAGAAAACTTAAAACAAAAAAATTAAAAATTGTAAAGACAAATTGGAAATATTATTTAAAATAGAAAAGAAGCCAGACATAGAAACATACACCTTGAATTCCAGCATTCTGAGAATTCAAGGCCAGCCAGATCTACATAGTTAGTTCTAGGACAGCTAGGGCTATGCAGAGAGAACCTGTCTCAAAACAAAACAAGAAAGAAAGAAAAGAAACAAAATTTTTAAAAGTTAACCAAGACATGATGTTAACTGGACTCATAGATACTAATAAATGTGTTTCAAGTGGGATTCTATACAGAGAACCCTTAATAACTGCCATTTTATGGCATGTTTACTATTTTATACCTTACTATATTCTTTATGTAGTTTCATTTTCTAACTAACTTTCAAAACAATACTGTCATTTAGATGTTATTATTCTCTGTTTACCAGTTTAAATAGCTACTAAAATAGTTCACCCAAATCATGCATCAAGTAGTGTAGGAGACAGAATTCAAACTTGGGCCAAATCCCAAGCCAGTGTTCTATCTTCAAATGTTACAGGCCACTGGAGAAACCCCATTAAAGGAAGACTCCCAGGACTGTAGCCATAACTCAGTTGGTACAGTTCTTACTAGCATGCATGAAACTTCAATCCCTAGCAACTCAAACACACACACACACACACACACACACACACATACACACACACACACACACATACACACACAGAGAGAGAGAGAAAGAGAGAGAGAGAGAGAGAGAGATCCAAACTATAATATTTGAATGCAATAATAGATACAGCTAGTTAAAGAATTTACTTAGAAATTCATAATCTAAAAATTATCATCAAATAACCCTACTTAATACATGGAGAAGAAATATCAGAGAAACAATGCCAGTGATTTCCCAGGAAGATGTTAAGGGCCATGAGATAAGTACACTGTTAAAAAATCTCACACCACAGTAAGCATCAGGACAAGACAAGAAGCTTACCCGTAAAGTCAAAGGTGAACTGATCACTGGTCAACTGCAGTGGAGGCTGCACATAGACGGACAGCTTGACCTTTTGCAACACCACTCGGTTCTGCAGGGTAATCTAAAGACACACAAATTATTAATAATATACCAAAAGCAGTGTCTATACCACAAAATTACATTCAGCAAAAAAAGAAATGAAGCTGATGTATAAACTATGAAAAATATTACACTAAGTTTTTAAAAAGGCTAATCACAAAGAATCATATTGAGCATAATTCTAGTTACATAAAATGCATAGACCCCTTCCCCTGCAAGGCCCAGGAACCACCCCAGAAGAGGGAGCAGAAATACTTTAAAAGGCAGGGGCTGGGAGGCTGGGAGGCTGGGAGGCTGGGAGGCTGGGAGGCTGGGAGGCTGGGAGGCTGGGAGGCTGGGAGGCTGGGAGGCTGGGAGGCTGGGAAGTTGGGAGGCTGGGAGGCTGGGATCAGAACGGTGACTTCTAAAGTCACAGCAGCTGTGGCTGCCTGCCTAAGACCTGACTAAGATCAAGCCAGTCAACAACCAACAAGGAGGAGAAAGGGCTCATAGGCTCCACCCCTGGCGAGGGGCAGCTGACAGTTGATGACTTCTAAGACAGGGAGACAGGTTTTGGGGGGGTGCTATATGTTCACCACACCCCAGTGGATGGCCTCATACCATGAGTATATGGCCAGTGCTAACTGAACTCGTTGATTTATAAAAAACAAAGACAACAGAAATTGTGGGTGGGCAATGGATCAGGAAGGAGCTCAGAAGACAGGAGGTGATTATGATCAACTATACTGTATAAAGTTCTCCGTGAATTAATAAAAATATTATAATGAAAATATATCTATCGGTTACACAGAGAAAAACCTATCTTGAACCCCCCAAAGAAAAATTCTTTATTTAAATTTTCAATAAAGTAAATAGAACAGGCACCTCTATGAAAGTTATATAGATTAGCATCTGCTTCAAAATAAAAGAGATAAAGAGAGACAATTAAATGGCCACTGTCATTTCTTTTAAAGAATACAAAAGGTTCTAAAATTAGATGGGGGTGAGGTGGTCCAAACCTGCAAAGAAGCCACCGATCACTGTGAGTGTCCTGTCCGTGTCAGAGAGAAAACAGCTTCTCATCTGACTGGAGAACTGCCTTTGGCATAAGCATGTCTGTTCTCTCCTTAAAGGCACAGGTACTGTTGTGGATTATTTATCTCATCTAGTATCAATGTATTTATCTTTACAAAGGACAATTACTCTCTGTGATCTCCTTACTTATATGTATTTACAGCTCTAGGACATATCAAAGATCTGCATTTTCTTCTGTGGCTAATCACAGAAATACGACAACACAGCAGTCCTAGACAACATCAAAGAAGGTGTTAACTACTACACGCCTGAGGGATCAAAATTCTAAAATCTACTATCTGAGTTATCGATACTGAGAAATCCTTCCCCTGTAAGAACCAAGTGTGCCTGGAAGCTGGGGGGGTGTGGACACAGGAGGCCAGGCTGCCTCGCTTTCTCCTGAAGAGCACTGTCAGTACCAACATCAGACGGAGCATCTTCTCTGGGTGCAGTTCCACAAGTCAGTGAGTGCATCAAATAATGAACAGCTGCCTTGCACTGGACATCTTGTCTCTGTGGCTGTGATTTCCTAAACGCTTCAGCCTCTTGGAACTGCTCACATCAGATGACTTCATCTAACTGTTAACAGACAGCCAATGAGCACTCTAGATTGGGTTACTTGTCTACAGGCAGACTCAAGGGCTGAGCGTCTTACACCTCCTCAGGTGGTCCTTATCTACAACCTGGAATCAGCAGTTGATTAAAAATAATCCTTCAGTGTGCTTCCTTTGTACGGAGCAGTTCGGTCTGGTTACTAGACTCTATTACATGAGAAACACACATACCACTGTTAACTGACATAATGTAATTATATCTTTATTATGATGAAACCTAATTTTTATCTTAAGTAAAATGCATGCATTATCTGTCTCTCAATTATACAAATACATTTATATAAAATATACAAAAGTGTATAATTGACCTACAAACATATATACATACAATTAAAGCCAATATATGTTATATATTGATTCCAAGTGATGTGTTCTAGACAACCTAAAAATAATCAAAAAAAATGTTTCGAAATAAAAAGTAATGTTTTAAAGGAAAATTATTGAAGCAAATACATATGGTAAAAAGAAAATAAACAAACAATGTGTTCTTAGATTTTATTATAAAAACCCTGCTAATACACATGGAACCTGGTACTCCAAAACCAGAATTTCCTCAGTAATGTCTGGCCATTTAGGCAAATCCCCAAGGTGATTATGGCAAGAAAAAGCTGTGGAAAGGGTACACACAAGCTTCTTTCAGACAGCTAGCTGGGCCAGTAAATTAATAGGATACAATTAAGTATTCTTCTATTAACAATAACATAATGTCATCTGCATCCATATAATTAAATATAGCAATCATAGTGGCTTTCTATACTCGTAAACCATGTTCGTGAGTGACTCATGTGTCTTATCTCAACACATCTCCACAACCATGTGAAGTAAGTACACAGCATTCTAAAATCAGAAACCACAGCTCAGAAAGCCAAGTACTTCCTCCTGAAGACACCAACTGAAGGGAAGAGAATCGCCACTGAGCTGCTGCTGTCTGCCCAAACCCAGGGTGTAGGCCTATGCACAGTGTTTAAATCACAAGTAACTTTATAAATAAAGGGTTCCCTGTTTTACCCGTTATAACTGAGGCTCAGAGAAAGTAAACAACATGTTCAACTCTGCTGAGGCAGTGGGCACTAAAGAGCTGAAAACCACCTCAGGAGCATCTTGTAAGCATGAGAAGGAAAACTCCCTCAAGTAATAACAAACTGCTCAGAAAGAGGCAGACATCCTGACTCTGCCGGCATAAGGATGACGGCTCAGACAGCAATCACACAATCCCGCATTGTTACAGGAAGGGCGTGCATGTGGGTTTAGATGAACAAACATGATAGCTCCCACGTCAGATTTATTGAATCCAACAATGGTCTAGGCACTTTCAAAGCACAAATCAAAGAGATATGACAAAAATAACTACAGTAACAAAGAATAGTTGTTTTTGAGCCAAAAAGTGAATTAAAAACTTGGCTAAATCATAAACCTCGTATTTTAAAAGGAAAATAATTGTAGAATATTAAGGAGAAAATATAAAATGTTAATGCAAGAATTTTCCATGCCATTTTCTCATTCAGAAGAAATAAAATATAATCCTTGGGAAATATAATACCAAATGTTTACCCTAGGTATATAAATACAACTGCCAGGCCAGGTATGAACGAGCGCTCTGCCTGTTGCCTGGACAGACGGTCATGCATCATGCACACATACTCAAGGTAGCCACATCTTCATTCATTTGGAACGGATGGAAAAATTTTCTCAATTAACTGGATTTATTATGATGGAAACTTTCATGGCTATGTATCTTGGCTGCTGCTGTTATAAAAGGCCATAAGGAGAGATTTACAGCAGAAATTTGTATAGAGACTGTCAGACAGGACCAGAAACCCATCGGGCCTGCTGTGTAAGTCCTGCCATGCCATGTGACCATGCACGTCATGGTCTCGCTTCCGCTTTTATCATGACAACGAGAAGAAGAGCAGTGACCATGCCTTGATTCTTATAGGTGATGGAGGGAGATTTTCCAGAAGTTGTGTCATCTCGTTAGGGTGGTGGTTATAAATAAAAGCCTAGAAAGTGTGGAGGGAAAGGTGTGCTCACTATCGCCAGCACCTCCTGCGTGATGGGGAGGGAGGGGATACACACAGTGTTATCCAGTTTAGGTACAAGACTTCTTTTTATAATATCCAGAGAGATCCTTGACTTCCCCATGACTGTGTGTGCATGATAACATTACACAGGTCTAAAACAGCTCCTACACAAAGTATAGGTCATTCCTGCGCCTCTGCAGTTACTTTCCTAAGCGTTTGATTTCTTGCCACTAATGCCTTTCCAGAAGGGTCTGTGACTGGGGAGGGAATAGGGAGGCTGGAGAAAGACCACCCTTGTTTCCAGTGGCAAGAGTCCAAAAAAATTAGCTTAGGAAACTGTTCTAAGATTGGGCTCGCTTCAGCTTCGAGCACAGATCTCCACACTTGGGCCACCCGCTGGGCCAGTGTAAGCGAACACAATTGGTAAAGCTGGGGACCTTGTCAAGCTTCTCCAAGGACAGCAACCTATAATCTGAGCAAACAGAAACTCTGTCCAAGTTTTGACTAAGGGAATCGCCAAGATCCACAACTTCTCCTGGCTTCCAAGTCTGGACAGTGATAAATATTCTCAGCTTAATGACGTGCTGACTGATTACCACACTTTAAGTGCCTTAAGAACATTCCAGATTTGAGTTCTAGTTCTCAAACTCTATAGTGACAAGACTGAAACTCTCAACCAAAACTACATGACTCTGGTTCCATTTTTCCAGGACTATCAATTTGTTGTTACACTACTTTATAGCTTCTTTGTTTCATATTTTCTTGCCATAGATGCATCCATTTAAAGCTAATGTCATGGCAGATAAACGCCTGGGAATCCTATTGAAGACATATGTAATCATAATAAAAGAAGCATTTTCTTAATATACATGTACTTCTCTGCTATCCCTTCACAACCCAAACATGATGCTCCAGTCAACTGACGGGCCTGATACTTTACGGTAATAACATGATTTCCTTATAAGACTTAAAAGTCCCAATTTTTATTTCTACATCATGCTATGCTCTTAAACAAGGGGCAAGGAAAGCCTAACATCTTTTTGTGCATACATAATTACATATCAATGTAATTATAAATTTGGTATGTGAAGCTAATAACTAAGGTTTTCTTTTTTTTTCCAGTTTTTCTTTATTGGATATTTTATTTACATTTCATATGCTATCCCCTTACCCCATCCCCCACCCACCCGGGAACCCCCCATCCCCTTACCCCTCCTCCTTCTTCTCCGTGGATGTAACCCCCACCTACCCCCCCTACTCCCAATTCCCCACCCTCAAAATTCCCACCCCCTGGGGCGTCCAGGCTTCATGAGGTCAAGGATCTCTTCTTCCACCTGTGCCCGGCACGGCAGGGCCTTCCACTCTTACTTATTCAGCTGAAGCCCTGGATCCCTCCATAAGTGCTCCCAGGCTGGTGGTTAGGACCCTGGGAGCTGTGGTTGGTTGGTATTGTTGCTCTCCTCATGAGGCCACAACCCATTCAGCTCCAATGGTCTTCACTCTAACTCCTCCACTGGGAACCCCATGATCAGTTCAATGGCTAGTTGTGAGCATCTGCCTCTGAATATGTCAGACTCTTGAAGACCTCTGAGGAGACATCCATATCAGGCTCTTATCAGCATGCACTTCCTGACTTCCACATCAGCATCTACCTTTGGTGACTGCACATAGGATGGATACTGCGGTGGAAAGGTCTTCAAATGGCCCCTCCTTCAGTTTCTGTCCCTCACTTTGTCTCCATATTTGCTCCCTTGAGTATTTTGTTGCTCCTTCTAAGAAGAACCGAATCACCCCCACTTGGTCTTCCTTTTTTATGAGGTTCATGTGGCCTGTGAGTTGCATCTTGGGCATTTCAAGGTTCTGAGCTAATATCCAATAATCAGTGAGTGAATACCATGTGTGTTCTTTTGTGATTAGCTCACTTCACTCAGGATGATAATTTCTAGTTCCATCCATTTACCTAGGAAACTCTCGAATTCATTGTTTTTAATAGCTGAGTAATACTCCATTGTGAAAATATACCACATTTTTTAATCCATTCCTCAGTTGAAGGACATCTGGGTTCTTTCCAGCTCCTGGCTATTATAAATAAGGCTGCTATGAACATAGTTGAGCATATGTCCTTGTTATATGTTCGAGCATCTTCTGGGTATATGCCTAGGAGTGGTATAGCTGGATCCTCAGGTAATGCTATGTCCAATTTTCTGAGGAACCGCCAGACTGATTTCCAAAGTGGTTGCACCATTTTGCAATCCCACCAACAATGGAGGAGTGTTCCTCTTTCTCCACACCCTTGCCAGCATCTACTATCACCTGAGTTTTTAATCTTAGCCATTCTGACTGGTGTGAGATGGAATCTCAGGGTTGTTTTGATTTGCATTTCCCTGATGACTAAGGACACTGAACATTTCTTTAGGTGCTTCTCGGCCATTCGAGTTTCTTCCGTTGAAAATTCTTTGTTAAGCTCTATACCCCATTTTTTAATAGGGTTATTTGGTTGTCTGGAGTCTAATTTCTTGAGTTCTTTGTATATATTGGATATTAGCCCTCTATCAGATATAGGATTGGTAAAGATCTTTTCCCAATTTGTTGGTTGTCGTTTTGTCCTATTGACAGTGTCCTTTGCCTTACAGAAACTTTGCAATTTTATGAAGTCCCATTTGTCAATTCTTGATCTTAGAGCATATGCCATTGGTGTTCTGTTCAGGAACTTTTCCCCTGTGCCCAAGAATTGAAGACCCAGAAATGAACCCACACTCCTATGGTCACTTGATCTTTGACAAAGGAGCTAAAACTGTCCAGTGGAAAAAGGACAGCATTTTCAACAAATGGTGCTGGTTCAACTGGAGGACAACATGTAGAAGAATGAAAATTGATCCATTCTTATCTCCTTGTACAAAGCTCAAGTCTAAGTGGATAAAGGACCTCCACATAAAACCAGATACACTGAAACTAATAGAAGAAAAGGTGGGGAAGACCCTTGAACTAAGGTTTTTTATTCACTACCAAGACTGAGGAAAACCTACAGAGTGTAGGCACTTATCTTACACATCAGTAAACTGACCAGAGAGCAGCAGGGACAGGGTAATGCCATATGCAATGCTGTCTGCACACTGCAGTCTCACACTGGACCCCACCTTCACTGTGATGGAAGGGACACTGCACACTGCAGTCTCACACTGGTACCCTGCCTTCACTGTGATGGAGGGCTCACTGAACACTGCAGTCTCACACTGGTACCCTACCTTCATTGTGATGGACGGGACAGAATCGGCTCCAGTTTCCACATTGGTGGCTTGCTGCAAACACAGAAGGGAGAAGAGAAAGCTTGGTTACTGATTTCACATTATGGGAAGTGGGTGAAGATATCTGGTGTAACAAACATTTCTCACCACTGCTCAGAGAACTAACTGAGGGGTTCATCATTCTAATGACAAACTAGGAGTCCTTAGGACATTTTGGAAATATTTATGTAGAAAATCATAAACAGTAGTCAAAACCCACTCCTCAAAAATGGAGAAAAATAGTTAGCAAAACCAAATTCACTTGAACACTGAAAATATTAATGTTATTAACTAGTTCTATTATATGGGTGAATCTCTCCTTGTCATTCCCACAAAAGCATTATGTTATACCATTATGTGAAGAACATGTTTATTCAGCTTGTAAATTTGTTCTTAAGACAGTGACCTCACTTACACCTGGAAACTGAACATGGAAGTGCATTTTCTTTAACTGTCATATCTCATAAGTGAGTTCAGCAGGTACTTTCTCAGCCTCAGGTTGGTTTGCCTAGTCCCACCACTTAAAACACTGATAGCATAAAAGAGTAAGGCAAATATCTCCTTATAATGTCATACAACTTGAGGAAAAAAATGCTCTAAAATAGACTAAGACCAAGAGGGAATATATTTGCCAACAATATGTATATGAAATTTTGTGAACTAAGATTACAATGACTGTGCACAATGAATTAATCAAATTCACATTTTATTTGGATTTTTATGCAAAAATATACTACCTGCTCCTAATAGAGATCACGCTGATGCCAGGAGCATCAGCAGAATAAAGAGCTGAGAAATTTATGTTCTACTTTCAGCTCTGCAGAAGTCACATCTGAATGCTGATAAAGTTGTTCGGTGAAGAAGTTACAACAGTGACATTTGTCTCCACTACAGAAGACCCCATTCCAATACAAAATCCACTTCTGCTTCAGGGATGTGCACGTTCAAAATAATGATTCAAAATAAATATTAATCCAAGCTTTCTGCTCTAGTACTATGTTACCTAAACCGGGAAATAACTTCATCTTTACCCACAGATCTTAAAGGAAACGTTTCCTTTTTGAGCAATGTCTAAACCCCTAGATATTTCAAGAATAGAATATTTGGGGAACATAAAATTATAGCCAGGAAAATGACTGTAAGAAGACCTCACGACTTTACAGACGCATAAACTGTTGGGCTATTTTCCAGTGGGGTAAATATGACAGTCTAAAAAAGTTCTAAAGAAAAATAAAGAAAGACAGAGATAATGAAGCAGGAAATACAGTAAGACAGGAGAAATGAAGCAGGAAGTACAGTAAGACAGGCAGTGACACAGGAAGTACAGTAAGACAGGCAGTAAAGCTGGGAGTACAGTAAGACAGACAGTGAAGCTGGGAGTACAGTGAGACAGAGAAAAGACACCAGTGAAGAAGAAACAGCATTCAAAATTACCAATCAGGGAATTTCCTTTACAATATGACACTACTACATAAGGCCTTGCCCTCCAAAGACCAAAATGTTTCCAAAGATGAAAGATATTTCCTCAATTAAAATAAACAACTCTATAAGTTACCCAACAGGGAAAAGGAGTCATTTCCACAGCAAAAGAAAAAGAAAGAGAGAGAGAAAGAAAGAATGAATGAAAGAGAAAGAGAAAGAAAGGAAAAAAGATAAAGAGAGAGAAAGAAAAAGAGAGAAAGAGAGAGAGAGAGAGGAAGGAAGAAAGGAAGAAAGGAAGAAAGAAAGAGAAAGAAAGAAAAGTTGAGGCCAATTGTTAGCTAACTAAGTTCCTCTCACACTCCACCCTTCAGGTAGGATGAAAATGGTGTCTGCTGATGAGCCAATGTTTCGTACAGAGCCTCTGCTGTGCGGGTGAGCTGGGTGCACAGTTCTTTCACATATGTTCCTTACTCTTTTAACTGCACTTAATGTACTATGCCATAGCAACATTAACATGACTTTTACTGTAATTCGAGTTGCCTGGTTATACCAAACTTAATCTTTGAAGGCTCTGACAACCACTTGCTACATTCTGCTATGACGCTTAAATAACAAACACATTTCCAAGGCAAAATTACATGATGGTATCAACTCTAAATGCAGAAAATGTTCAAGTTTGGTCACTAAACTGATCAAGTTTTGACAGGGACACATAAACGTAATGAATCCCATGCAAACCTCAGGCAATGATTATAGATTATATACAGAAAAGCATTCTGAGGAAGAGAAAACAAGGATACGGAGTAAAATAACCAAAGGCCGTCCCCTGCCGTCCTGTTTCTCCATCCTAATCACTTACAGAGCAGACAGACAGTGGGCATCTAATACTTGGCAAGTCTGAAGGGTCCATCAGTGAGCAAGAAGAGGAGCGGGGAAGACAAGGTGGTACTGATGCTGGGAAAAGCAGGATGTAACTGATAATGATGACAACGGTGACAATTAAACAAAGCAGATCCCTGCGGTGGGAAAAACAAACCTACCCAGAAAAACACTCGGTACTGAAGCAGTGAGAAGGTTTAAGAACCTCTCTGCCCCCCTCACCTGCCCTTTTGTAAATAAATCCTGCCAATGTGTCCCTTTCTGACACTAAGAAAACAGCCATGTCTTTGTCTAGACCAGTGGTTCCCAACCTGTGGGTTGTGACTCCTTTTAAGGTCAAAAGGCCCTTTCATAGGGGTCACATATCAGATACCCTGCATGTCATATATTTACATTATGAGTCATAACAGAAGCAACATTACAGTCATGAATAGCAATAAAAATAATGTTACGGTTGGGTCACCACAACATGAGGAACTATATTAAAAGGTCACAGCATCAAGAAGGTTGAGAGCCACTGATCTAGAAAGTAACAAAATCTGAAATGTGTTATCATCCCATAATTTCCTACCAATAAGCCTAGAACTTAAATCAATTTGATCACAACTCACAACCCGCAGTACAAATACCTACAGACACAGAATCCAGGGTCGAAGACACCACAGCAGAGACTTTCAAGTCATCCTCCTGTTCAGTCAAGGGCCAAACACCTGGAAATAAAAAACATATAATCCTAAAGTAATATGTGCTATATAAAGTCTACATACATATCAAAAAGCAAGTTGTAAATACTCATGAGTTGAAAATATAATGAACTATAAAATTAATAGTTTTACACTAATTCTTTCCTCAGTAACACTTTGAATAAAAGCTGTCTTCCTTCAGTACTACCTAAGTACTGAGCCAGTGGGTACCTAGTACCACCTAAGTACTAAGCCAGGAGAACCTAGTACTGGGAATTGTCGTCATTTCCCTGCAAGTGAAAATCTGAACTAGTATAACCCACTGGCAGGTAAGTTGGCTATGACTATCATCGAGGTCTTCCAACTTAATGGTTCCAGACCCAAGAACTTATCATGAACAAGCATGGCCTAGGAGGGTCTCCACTATTAGGGACTAATGAAAACTAAAACAGCTTAAATATCTATGCATCTTCATAAAGAGATGATTAATTAAAATATGAAATATCTACATTATTCAATGGTTCAAAGCAATAACAATTTCATAAACCCATATACACTGATGTAGTACAAGCAAGATGTAGTACTACCTAACATGAACATATCTGTGTAAAGCATGTACATAATTCTGAATATTTTTTAGAAATACTCAAAACTCAATAAGGTTTGTAGTCAAAGACTAGAACTAGAATCTAGGGTCAAAGAGATTTGCTTTGCATGTTTATCTTCTTAGTACTGTCTGAACAATTTTATCACATACATATACCAAATGCACATACCTACACCACATACATATACCACATATAAATGCATACACCATGTATAAATATACCACATATGCATACATATACTACATACACATACATATATCATATATACATACATATACCACACGCAAATATACACAGACACATCCTTATACCACAAGTAGACAGACAGACAGACAGACAGACAGCCATATGGTTAAGGTTTACTGTGTCCCTGCTAGTTTTCACAAGAGGGTTGCTATGAGAAACCTCTTCTTTTCTGTGTCCCTGATTTACCATATACATTTGCCCTCATACACACTTCTGCTTCTAAAGAACCAGTTTCTGTGAAGTACTTACTACTAGACATAAGCCAGTCTTGGATCCATGCCCTTGAATCTCTCACAACTGTTAACTAAATAAACCTTTCCTTCATAAATACTCAGCTTCAAGTCTTTTGTTATAACAGAAGGTGGTTTGAATATGCTTGGCCCAGGGAGTGGCACTATTAGGCCTTGTTGGAGTAGGTGTGGCCTTGTTGGAGAAAGTGTGTCACTGTGGGGATAGGCTTTGAGACTCTCCTCCTAGCTGCCTGGAAGTTAGTCTTCTGCAGTTTGCTTTCAGAACAAGAGATATGACTCTCAACTCCTCCAGTGTCATGTCTGCCTGGATGCTTCCTGCTTCCCACCAGTCTGCTCTTGTTTGCTTTCAGAACAAGATGCAGAACTCTTGGCTCCTCCTCCAGCATCAAGTCTACCTGGATGCTGCCATGCTTCTGGCCATGGTGATAATAGTGTTAACAGTCTGTTAAACTCCACCTCTACAGTTACTTGGAAGTGGCCAGATACGCTCCTCCCCACAGTTACCTGGCAACAGGCAGGTAGCCCTGCCCACTATAAAAGGGGCTGCTTGCCCCTCCTCTCTCTCTTGTTCCCCTTGACCTGCACCTGCAGGTTGCTGTCTCCCCTACCCCCTTCCCTTCCCCCTCTCTCCACGTGGTCATGGCCGGCCTCTACTCTCTCTACTCCTCTCTCTCTCCTCTCGCTCTCCCACTCTCTTAATAAACTCTCCCTCGTGGAACCGTCTGGTCTGCTGTGATCTGTTACAAGCTGCACGTGAAAAACCTTTCAAATAGACTAAACCCCTGAGACTGTAAGTCAGCCCCAATTAAATGTTGTCTTTTATAAGAATTACCTTGGTCATGGTATCTGCTCACCTCAGTAAAACCCTAACTGAGACAGTAGACTAACAAACACAAATTATTTCCATAATTCTAAATGTTCATGTTACATAAAAAAAAATCACAAAAGCAAGTTATTCTAAAAAAACCATAAATTATCTTTATACATATAAATAAAATACGTATGTTTAAACAAATATATGTTTATATTTATACATATATGTGCTTAGGTAACATTAAGTAATAAATATATATGTGCACACAAGTACATACATATCAGATAGTTGACTGCCTAGTCAGCATCCACTCTTCCCTCCTTTCTCTGTGGCCAAGCCTATTTTTGTTGAAGTATTCAACTTCATTACAGAAAACATTCCTCTCTGGGCTCCAGGGTCAAATTTAATCACGGAAGTTCTATTCCACTAACTGTTGTTTTAGACGTGAGCACAGCTCTTAGTTTCAGGACCAGTGGACAGGCAAGGAGGTTGGGGCTAGGCAGTAGAGGCATATGCTCTTAGGAAAGCCTTTCTCCCTAAAAGGGTCTGGAAATTCTATCTGCACCCAATGCCTGGTGCATCTACAGCTACCCAGGATCCCAAAAAGGAAAACTCCATGCACGGAGGATGGATGACTGAAAACACAGAGGTACATGGACAACACCACTGACTCAGGTGTCTCTCACCAGAAGGACTGTTCTACACTACCACTACAGAAAAATCTGGAAATTCTAAACCTAGTAAGAATACAGAAGATTGTTTGTTGGCCTCTTGACAACATTCTTCACTTCTTCACTAAAAGCTCAATTTGTCCAGAAGAACAGCCATCAGCAAAGCCTACTAAACTTTCTGGCCTGTTCTGCAGATTGGAAGGGCAGCTGAGATAAAAGCTGGAGCTGTTCAGGGTGTGGCTTCCAGGAAAGCTCCCCTAGGGGCTGACTCAACTGCAGATGTGATGCAGAAGTTCCAGAAGCATTCCTGAACCAAGACATGATGCTGGAACAGAAGCACCAGAATTCCTGAAGACAGGAATTGTGGGTCCAACCCTAAACTGCCTTCTACCCAGCTTCTTTTACAGGAGAAACAAACAAACCTCTCTCCTCCATTTAAGCTGCTATATGCTGGCATTCTGTTACCCATGCATGACTGGAATGAACAAACCAAGTTCAGCTGCTCTTAACCCTTGGAGATAGCATCAACTAAGCTAGCCCAAATGTGTTTCAAATGCGATACAGATATATTTATCTTGCCCATGTCTGTCTGCACTCTCTACTTGGCTGAAAGTGCACTGTTGGTACCTCTCTTAAATATCACATCTAGGGCTTTGTGAACACATGAAGTAAAGATCAAATGCTTAAGTTATATGGAAACGCCGTCTCTTCAAAGTTCCCACTGAAAAATATTCTTGACTACTTCTAACAAAAACATTTGGCAGAATTCTTACTAGCCCTCTGAATTTCAAAAGCTTCACCATATACAAAGAAATTATTACTATAATTTCATGCTTATAATATACATTCCTATATAACTTACAAACGTAAACTTAACTTCAAAATTTTATTACAATAGACATATACAGTGTGTGTCTAACAAATATCTTCTTTTAAATTTGTGGTAAATTTTGCTGCAACCTTTTCTTTGAAAAAGTTTTTAAAGGTTTTGAGTATGGAGTATAGCCCACAAGAAAATGAACTTTTTCTCTTAAGGTTAAAGGTGTCTTCATCAAACCCTCTGCTCAGAGCTCAGGAGGCCATGTGCAAGAGAAGGCAAAAAGATTATAAGAGCCAGAGAGGATGGAGGGTACCAAGGAACTATGACACACATATGAATTCACAGATGATGTGGTAGCATGCACAGGGTACTGTGGTAGTGTGCACAGGGTCCATGTAAGTCCAGGCCAGATGACGTCCCAACACTGAGAGGGGAAGGTAGACACAGCTCACAACCCTAACCAAGAAGCTATCTTTAACTGACAACCCCTTGCAAAGAAAACAGTTTTCTCCAATGGAGTCTCACTAGGTTCATAAATCGTACACAGCTAGTTCAAAACGAACTCAGATAGCTTTGTTTGGACATCTGTTATCTTACTACTTTTGCTTGTATATTATACATTTTGTGTTTTCATGGGTTTTATTTGCACGTGTGTCTGTGAGATTCTTGTGTTTATTCTTTGTTTTGTTGTTTTCGGTTTTTTATACGGTTTATTTGCTTTTTGTATTTGCCTGTTTGTTTTCTAAAAAAAGAGAGAGAAAAGTCAAAGAGTTGAATGGGTAGGGATGTGGGGAGGATCTGGGAGGAGACTGGGAAACAGAAACTGTGGTCAAAATATACTATATGAAAAAAAATTTTTAACAACAACCAGGAGTTCAGAGTTCAGACTTTTCATAACCTATAGTGGAAAACAATGTCGTTTCCTATCATTAAAACTGTTTAGGTGAACAGGAATATCAAACTTCCATAAAGGAACAGAACACTAAACATTCTTTATATCTAGAAATAAAATCAAGCCTTCTACTTAAAGATTTCTCTTTGTTTCTTTTTTAGGAATAAAACCAAACAATGGTGGTGTAAAAGTCCAGAGACATTCAAACAGTAACCAAACTTTGAGATGATGCAGATAAGTAACTTTCACCTAAGCCTCTGCATCCATCCCAAGCTTAAGTGACGTGATCTACACTAACCACAGAAACCAGACAAATAGACAAATAAAATGGCATCAAGGCAGGGGGTGGGCAGGTCCAGGGACGAGGGATGGAAGCACACAGATGGTACCAAGGGGCAGTGGGGAAAACTGCAGGATGGTAAACTCGGAAGTCAGAAAGGTAGCTAATGCAGGGGCAGGGATAAATGATACGAAGAATGTTTGAAAAAGCTATTGCTCTATGTTTACATAAAATAAGTATATAATAAATACAAATGTGTGTATACATATATAGAGAATGTGAATAAAGTCATACAGATTGTGGTGACAATACTGGCCACAAGAGTCACAGACTATTTAACACAAACTCACAGCAAGCATGGGAAACTTCTCTCTGTATTGTTGGCCATGAGAGTTCAAGAGGCTCTTAAAGGGGGTGGGGAGGGGCGGGGGCATTGCTGTGGCCCTGGGCTGCCTCCCAGAACTTGAAAGTAAGACACTGTTCCTGAAGATACCACATACTTCGGTCACAAGACTCGGAAGAACTGAGCTGGAACTGATCTGGAAGCCTCCTCCGTGAGGAGTAGCTCTTGCTGTATCTTAAGGTGCTATGCAAGCTGCCAAAGGAAACACACCATCAATGTACCTACCCAGCTGTGACCACAACAATACCCAGCACAGCAGGATGCCCCCAAGGATGCAATACTGGTACTTACATCCAAGAGCCAAATAATTGGACTTGAGGTCAGTTCAGTAGGAGGCAAATTGGGCCTGGTGGTATAAACACAGGCAACTAGTATAGCTGATGAGATCATGGAATCGCCACCTTGCTAAGCTAGTATAATTACTAACTGCACCCCAAATCTTATCCATAAATTTATAAATAAATGTAACTTTCACTCAACAAGAAGACATCACAGAAATCCATAACTGGAAAAAATGCAGAGAGCAACTACTGTGGGGAGCCCAATTCCAACTGCCATGCCTACAACACAATCCCTACCCCTAAGGCTTGGAGAGCACCTTGGAAGAGAAGGCTTCAACAGCAAGAGCCAGAGGACCAAGATGCCGGCTGCTACGTGGTGTCTTCTACACATCACAGGGAAGCTGCATCAGTAACTCTCAACAATATGGTTACCTAAGCACAACTGTACAATGATACCTGCAGGGAACGTGCCAACATGGATAGGAAACTCTCCCCGGGCCTCCCCTAGTTAAAGAGCATCAGTCAGTCAATGGCTACTGAGAGAGAATCAGTCTACTCCAAAGACAAGCAAAACTAAATGGACTTTGCAGGCCGTGTGTGTGTGTGTGTGTGTGTGTGTGTGTGTGTGTGTGTGTGAATAATGATAATTAAAGGAGAAGAGGCCCTGGCTTTAAAGAGTGACAGAACACGGGAGGAGCTAGGGGGTGAAAAGAAAGAGTGAAACTGATTCTCAAGAAATAAAATAAATATATTTCTTAAATGAAGCTATTTCAAGATATACAAAAGGGTCAAGGAAATGGCAAGCAACCTGTCGAAATCTTTTCACTAGGACTACCAGGAGGTAACGTTTAGCTGTATGGGGTTTTTTTTTTTACAACATTTATATAATTCATGTTAGTTAAACTACCATTAGCCATTGCTGTGGAAGGGCAAAAATCACAAGACAAAAACTTGGAGAGTAAAACCCACATTAATTAATATGCTTGAGAAACTTTATTATATATATTTCTGTGTGTGTATGTGTGTGTGTGTGTGTATACATATATATGCATACACACACACACAATCTTCCTCAATTATGACCTAAAATTCCATTCATCCTCCAAAACACTGGTATCAAAATGGAAAGCTTAAACCTGATGCATCCAGTCCTCCCCACCTTCCATCTGATGAGGAGGTGCTGACAAGAGGCTGTAGAGACCTCCATTTCAATGGTTTACTTTAAGAACGTTCTATAAGAATGTGTGAAGCCAAGGCATAACATCTTTACTTTTAATATTCCTATTTTAATATATCATCTCAGTTCCTTAAAACCAGAGGAATAAAATCCTGGTAATACAGATCAAAAATACATAAACCTAGTGCAGCAAACACATCAGGATTAAGGTTGGCTCTGTCCTTTTGGCTGGCCTTTGATGCTCCATTTCTTTTATTATTCTTCTTGTTTTAACAGTTCTTTTATGTGAAAATGGTCCATATTTTTTCTCATTAAGAAAATACTTTTACCTGACCCTGAGAAGGGAACTTAAAGTAATGATTTTCACATGTTCAGCATGAGCTGTAGGATTGGTGTTTTGTTTCTCCTTTTAATTTACAATAAAATTACACCCTTGTGAGTCCCAACATAAAATAACATTGAGTTACTCAAAACCCGGGAACTGAAAATATCATCAGGCTCTGAGTCATTAGAAGTCAGAATATCACAGGCCACACTCCATTTGGATGGCTAATTAACTTCAAGCATAAATTATATCATCTAAGCTGCAAATTACTACATTCTTAGTAACAAAGTGGCAATTCATGTACCACTTGGATTTCTTTTCAAAGCAGCAAGTGAAGCCAAGTACATTGTAAGTGAGTAATTGACCACTGTGAGCTTCAACACTCTCCTCACAGCCTGAAACCACCGAGAAGTCCTTCTGCTTCACTGAGGGGGCAAAATATTTAAAGGCTAGATGGAGTTGTCCCTGCAATACAGTAACCAAAATATTATCTCCAATAAGACGGGTTTTCAACAGTCACCTATACAAAGTCAACACAAGGACCTTGTATGCTAAAGAGAATGTTTATTCAACGTCTTTAACTAACCCTGGGGCGAATTAACTAGTATTTATGAAACAATATCCATATACACCATAAGGCAAACTTTATAATTAACATTAGAAGTGTCCAACAGAGACGACTGTAAATGAGTACCTTGCGACTCTACATCTTTGATGATTTTCTGAAGTTCTTTTAATTCTACATCAAGTTCATCATAGTTGAGCTCTCGTGATTCAACTTTTGGAGCTTGGAACAAAGAAGGGTCTGTCCCCAGATATGAACACTGCAGGTGACCATCATCACTAAGGGTCACTATCACTCCCTTCAAATCTCTGTAAGAGGCAAGAGAATATGAGACATGGTTAAACTTTCAGTCTTACAAATGACATTTTTACTCGAGTCAGCTTAACATACCATTAAAAAATAAGTATAAAATAGCTTTCTTTCAAAGACTCAATTATAATGTTTCAAACATTATCTATATTTATGGATGTACACACAGTGTTTAGGAGTATTACAGGAGGGGAATAAACATTAAGATATATTATATTGGCCACCATAGGAATGTAATTACACAGTAAATTCAGATCTTAATCGCCATTGTTGATGCCATATCGGGCATGTGAATTGCACACACAACAATGGAGCAAGACATGAAACTAGATTTCTATCTAGAGACAAGGAATGAAGCCTGGCCCCAAGGCCTGGACAACCATGGACTATCCCAAGGCTGGAAAAGCCATGGTGTGACCACAGGGTCTGGACAGCCATACAATGACCTCAATGCTGGAACAGTCACAGCAAAGATATTTGAAAACTGATAATAATAATTTAAAAAAAAGTCTTGAAGACAGATATGTTCTCTCCTCTTTTTGTCTCTCCTCCTTCTCTGGATCCTTGGGACTAACTCTCACATGTGACCCTCCAAGGCTTCCTTTAGACACTCTTACCCAAAGAGCTTTCTGATTTGTTTTTTTTCTCCCCTTTCCTAGACTCCTAGACAGAAAAGGCCACAGTACTAGCTCTTTCTCCATCATGATTTAACTCACATAATTTCTTTTCCTCATTACGTGCGACTGTTTAAATGAATCCCTCAACGTGGGACCTTAGAGAAGTCATTAGGACAGGAGTGTTTCACCTTCACAGACTAATGAAGACTCTTCATTATGAATGATCTTAGAGAAAAGGAGACTTCATTTCAAAACCACTCCTTCCCTCCCTCCTACCCTCCCATTGTTCATGTCACACCCTGAAATGTCACCCTGGAATGCTTAAGCCAAAAGGTCTTCGCCAGGTATACATACCCTCAATCCTAGACTCCTGAGCCTCCACAAGCATAAGTCAAATAACTTTCCTTTCTTTCTAACCTGTTCAGTCTCTGGAATTCTGCAATAGCAGCCCAGGATGGATAACGGCAGTGTTTACATTCTTCCTTCTTCTAGGTTCCTTTAGCACCATTCCTCTCTAAAACTTACCTATATGTTGCATAATATACACATTATGGCTGAATTAATATGCAATGTTTAGAAATTAAAGCTGTTGAAGGAAATACTGTATTTTCTTGTTCCTTGGTATTCACAGAAAAAAAAAATTCAACATTGTCCTAAATCATTTGGTGTTAATACATGAGTTCTTTCCATTTTTGTTATATTTTCTACAGTGGCCTTTGATCTAACAAAAATACCAAGCCTTTCACAGTTGTTGCTGCTGCTGCTGCTGCTGCTGCTGCTGCTGCTGCTGCTGCTGCTGCTGTTGTCGCTGCTGCTTTAAGTGTCCACACATGCATGTGCTGTTCATGGAGCATATTTTGCTGACACACTCAACCGCTTGCTCCCTGGTCCTTCCCTATTAGTCCCCACTTGCCCCCTAGATAGTTTTACTCCCCTTTTCATGTCATATATGCATGCCTGATTTTGTGTATCTATATAAAATCTAGAAATGATAAATAAGAAAACAGACATTTGCTTTCCTTTTGTACTGTATGAATCATATTACATTGAAATGTATAAATCATTTCACTTGATATGATTTATCTTTTCTCTTGCATCACTTTTCCTGCAAGTAACATGACTTCATTCTTCCTGGCTGGAAAGAGCTCTATTTAACTTTTTAAATAGTGATGGAGTCCTATCAAGAAATCCCTTGCCTGTTCCTCTATCTTGGAGTGTCTGTTGTACTTTTGCCAGTAGTTTGAGAGTTTCTGGTCTTCCATTAATATCTTTGGTCCTCCGAGAGTTGAGTTGTACATAGGGTGAGATATCAGGATTGATTTTCATTTCACTGATGAATATACAATTTTACCAATAACATGCCTGAAGAAGCTCTCTTTTCTCTAATGGCTATTTTCAGCATCTCTGTCAAAATTTACGTAACTACAGCTGTGTGAGTTTATATCAGGATCTCTATTCTATTCTGTTGATCTACATGTCTGTTTTGTGCTACTACCAAGTTATTTGGAGGAAGAAGAGGAGGAGTATTTTATATGCCTAAGTGTTTTGCTTGCATAGATTTCTGTGCTTCATGTACATTCCTGATGACTTTAGAGATAGAAGAGGAAGCTGACCTCCCTGGACCTGGAGTTTGATGGTTTGGAGCCACCATGTGGGTGCTGGGAATCAAGCCAGGTCCTCTGGAAGAACAACCAGTGCTCCTAACCACTGAGCATCTCTCCGGCCACCATGCTGCTTTGGGCACTATAGGCCAGTGCTTTTTTTCTTTAGTATTTCATGCACAAGTCCTATTTGTACATCACTTCTACCCCTCCATGTCCCAACACTCTTCATCTAGGGGCATGGCCTTGTGACACTTCCTCCATCCACATGGGTGTATCAGCTGGCAACGACACTATGTACATCTTGTTTTGGCAACTATATTCTGCACATTCGTGGGTTCGACTTCCCTGTTGTGTCTGCAAGACACTGTCTAGCAGTAAACACTCTCGTCCTCTGGTTCTTACAGTATTTCCAAACCTTATTCCTAAGCCTCATTTGTAGGAGTTGCATTGTACAGGTATCTGTTGGTTATCCCTATTTTTAGGTAATAACTCTTAGAGAGAGCTAATCAAAGGGGGAAAGAGAGAGAAACGGAGCTCTAAACTCTGAAGAAATACCTTTAAAGCCTCCCAACTCTGTATCAATTCCAACAGTCATGTTGTTAACATAAAAGCTCAACTCAGTTGAAAGAATGATACCAGTGCTCAGTCCTTCCTATAAAGTGACCCCTAGCAACTACGTCATTGCTTACAATAAAAACAACATTCTAGCTAGACGTGAGGGTGCACACCTATGATTCCAGCACTCAAAAAGTTCAGGCAAGACAATTTTGAGTTCCATATCAACCTGGACTACATAGTAAGATGGTCTCAAAAAAAGGCAAAACAACAAACATAATCTAGAACATTCCTGTACATGCTGTGCCTTCTCTGGGGCCCATACATAGTAAGCACCACAGACCCTGTCAGTCACTGCCGGCTACTGAAGCCACCTAGTGGTTGACAAAGTCCTAACTTACAGCCTCAGAAAACCATTTCTAGAGGGACAGACTCACTCTGCTCCAAGTTGTGACTTCTGTTCTCCTTTACTCCCAGTCCCTGGAGTCAAGGTCAAGGACCTGCGTCCTCAAGAACCTCCTGATTTGAAAGGCCTGTCTGCTGTTGGCTTCTCAAGACAAGGCAGGAACCATTCTCCTCTGAATCCAAACAGATACTCTCAGCTCAGTCTTAAACCCCCAGTGGCCTCTAAAGCAGGAGAGCTGGCATGACCCAGTACAAGCATTCTTCCTGTTTCAAACATGTGACTCTTTAAACCAGACAGCTTAATATCTCTCACATTCCAATACTGAAAGGTAGATATGTTCTGAAATTCTGCAAAACATGTTGACTTATAGGAAAATAAATCTGTTTGTTCCACTGTTTAGATAGCAAGCAGGTGCCAATTTAGATATAGGAGAATTATTTAGAAAAGCATTGAGGTTCTGAAATAGATAATGAGGGATATGTATATTTCTTCAGCTTCTCAAAATCCATTCTTTACCTATATTTGGTGTCCAAACAGAAGAGAGTCTGTCTCACAGAAACACCTAACCTCAACATTGACAGAATATCTTGATCCTTCAAGAAAGTCCAGTAATTTCCTGAGTGATTTATCTTTATTTAATCATATCAGACACAGTGGATACAATTTAGATAAAATAAAAGAAATTTAAGCTGGAGATAAATCCACTCTTCTTTCTTATTATTAATTAAAAAGATGCTAAGACACTTAAGTGTTTAAGCTTTAAAGCACTAGTGCTTATTAATAGAATTTCTGTATACAACACCTATGACAGGCAAAGACCTGACCCAGGCTTATAAAACTACTAAGGTAGTAATATAATCATTTGGCATTTTTGTACAATGAAAAAATATATATTCATACTCACACATATAGTTAATTCCAATTAGCTATAAAGAAAAATACTATCAAACAATGTGTTTTTAAATATTTCTTCTTAATGGCTATTTTATATAACAACATGGTCCATGTAGATTATATGGGCTGGATCTCTGAATGAATTTCACGCTGTAAAGGTCAGAAGTTAGATGTAAGGCTGCATATCCAATTGCTCCCAAGTTAACACTGATAGACTTCTTTGTTGATGCAAATCAACTAACCCAAGACACATAAGCTGACTTTATGAAACGGTCAGGATCAGAAACGCTACATCCCCAGGACGTATAATTATTCTGCTACTTTAGCCATAGAACAGGAAGCTAAAAAAGAACTCAGCTCAGGAGTCTGAAAGTCAGCCCATTGTTGCACAGACAATCCCTGCCACTGTAACACACTAAAGCCAAACTCCTAATGGATTTGAAATGTTAAACTTAAAAAGATAAAACTATAAAAATATTTAATCTTCCTTTGAAATGGGAAGAATGCTTGGCTTAGAGAAAACAGTAGACTAGAAACCAAAGAAGCTCTAGATGAAGTCAGCTAAAAATTTACCGCTGTTACACTCTTCCTAGCCGGGTATGATGGGGCATGCTTGTAACCCCAACACCACTGTGCTCTGGATGCAGAGGCAGGAGACTGCTTGAGCATGAGGCCAAAATCATCTAACATAGCAAGATCAAGCCCAAACAAGCTATATAGTGAGACTCAGTCTCAAAAATAGAAGAAAAAAAAAAAAAGAAGCCCTACAAAACAGTAAGATGATATCCCATATCCAAAGAGGAAAAGCTCAAGAGCAAGTACAGACAGCAGCGTCATCGAGGTGCTGCTGCTGTTAGCGTCAGGAGAGGCTGAGAGAGGAGCAGCTCTCCCTGTGCACGCCTGAGGATCTGAGCTCCATCTCT